AGTAGTTGGAGTAGTAGTAGCAGTAGTAGTAGTAGTAGTAGTAGCAGTAGCAGTAGCAGTGCAGTAGCAGTAGCAGTAGCAGTAGCAGTAGCAGTAGTAGTAGTAGTAGTAGTAGTAGGAGTAGCAGTAGTGGTAGTAGTACTAGTAGTAGTAGTAGTAGTAGTAGTTGTAGTAGTTGTAGTAGTAGTAGTAGTAGTAGTCGTAGTAGTAGTGGTGATGGTCGTAGTGGCCGTGGTAAGCAAGGGTGTTAATCGTCAGTAAGTAGGGCAATTAGTCACTCAGTCAGGAACACTTCCGAAAATGAGCACATAGGTAGCTACAAGTAACTGACTGACTGTTAACAAACTGACTCGCTGCACAAGTACGTACATCAGTGAGTCAGTGGGCGAGTTTTTGAGCGAGCCAGCGAGCGAATGACGGACTGACAGAGTATGTGACCATGTGAGCATTCAAGCAAGTTAATAACCAAGTAAGTTAGCAAGCAAGTAGAAAAGCAAGGCAGATGACAGAAGTTTCTGAGTAAGTGAAACAAGCGAGTTCCGTAAGCAAGTAAGCAAGCAAGTAAGCGAGGCAGTAAGTAAGAAACTAAGTACCTCGGCAATTAAGCAAGGACAAAACGGAAATGAGCAAGGAACTAGGTACGTAAGTAAGCCAGTATATAAGTAAGTGAGTAGTGGACGAGTGAGCAATTGAGTAATTCAACACGCAAGGAAGGAATGAAGGAATCAAGCAAGGAAGTAAGTATGTAAACAAACTAGATTCAGATGTGTAGTTAGCTATCGGTAGCTTGCTGGATAGTTAGTCGGTCAGCTTGGTTGGTTGATTCGCAAGTGAGTTGGGTAGTTGGTTGGTTGGTTAGGGCGGCCCTTTTGATACGCCAAGATGCACGAAGGAAACGCCGAAGCCTTTGTCGATGCCTCAGCAGATGTTGCCCATTAACAGCCTGAACCTGAACCCAAAAGATCTGTAGCGTGTCGCTAAACTCAGAAGTCCTAAATGCTCTGCAAAATCTTATCCACATAGTGATGCCCTTCAACATCTGATCAACTGCCAACTAACTGGAGCGCACAAGCACCAAGACCTTGATTTTCCGCATTAAAGGTCTTGGCGCTTTGTCGTGTTTTGGGCTGTAGGATCTTATCGCAAACTGCGTAGCTTCAGGGCAGAGCGGCTTGAGTGGCACAGTAAAGGTCTCGTGAAAGCCGTGGGATTGTGGGCTTCAAGGTCCTAGCTTAAAGCTGATGTCAAGATTAGCTTAAGCATGCTTCGTATAAGGTTGGGGGCGTTGGAAACTGAAGATGTATGATGCTTTTGTCGGGGTCGAAGAGGCTGCGGAGTAGACCAAGGTGCTAGTGATGTCCAGCGCGAGGGCGACAGCAGGATTGAAACAGCCACCGGAAATGAAGCCTCCACACTTCGGGCATTGCACGCTGGGGAATTCAAGTTGGATTCTGAACTCTGAAATCACATGTGACCAACGTGGCGTGGGCCCGGGAAACTGCCAGGACTTGAGACCTTCGCAGATCTAATCATCTGGTGTCGGCTTTGGACGGAAACTGTGAGGTTTGATAAAAGCTTCTTGGGTCGCAAGTACTTATAGCCTTTGCATCGATTGTATTTTATCTCCTTCACGCGCTCTCTCTCTCTCTCCCCTCTTTCTCTCTGCATAAATTCATACAGATGTGTGCACGTACATCTGTCCATGCATTACCATTATGTGCAAGAACAGAGCATCAACCGTACAGATGAACAAAATAAGCACAGACATAGACACACCAAAAGTTCTCTTCACCTGTACCCACTTACGTACCTGTCTTCCTGTACATCTGTTGGTATATACATAGATATATATATATGT